TATTTGATAGCATATAATACTCCCCCCACCACTGACCAGCAGTTAACAGAATGACTAAGACTAATAAAACCTTTGATAGACAAGATGATTGTATCTGGGGAAACCATTATGTAAAAGATAGAAGTTACAAAACAATCATATTGCCAACCTTTCTATATGGTGTGAAGACTTGTATAACTACTTAAGTGTCTCCATTAGCATAGTCTTTAAACTATCCTAATGGTGCACTGGAGTGACTTCATCACTAACATTGACATTTTTGTCTCTACCAAGACCACAAGTTTTGAAGTTATACTATAAAAATTATGACAGGTTGGTCACATGACTAAGATAGCTGACAATTCTTTTCAAAAGACATTCCTATTCATGGGACTACCTTCATGCCAATAGAGAAGTGGGGGGGATCACACTGAAGAGATATAAGAGCCCTCATTTCCTGTGGATTTAGTGACCATAAGAAGGAAATGGAAACAGCTAGCATGGAAGTACAAGGCAACCTCCCTTCAAGCTTCAAAAAAAAAGAGTGGAAGAGAGACGTCTCCAGAAGGTTGGATCATCTGTTCGTTGTTAAGCCTCCTCCAGCATTTTGTAAAACAAGTTTATTTTCTTTATGTGTTTTGCAAACCATTTGCAAGCCTGCAATAGACATAGAAGATTTTACCAGATTTTTGTTTGTGAAGCCAAGTCATGAAAATCATAGAGTAAAGCTAAGAATACTGGTAGTATATAGGTTCTGGGTAAACATTAGTCCATTGTATCCTTAAACTTTGTTTATAAGACCTAGGGAGATATTTTTTCTGATAGTTTCTTTGGGGGGTGGGGGGGAGCACTGACATGTCATCAAATATGGTAAGTTATCTTGTTCTGCCTTTATTTATTTGGAATTCTGTTTAGACTTTTTAATATGAGATTAACTTCAACATCTGTCTATATTTCTGATATGATGTATTGTAACTATTTACAATATTTACATTTTCAGACTGTTGTCCTCATCTTCATTGTCATATTCATGACGTTTCATTTGTTGTATGCTCCAGTCTTCTTCAGGCAATATATGTTGGAATTTTGAACTGAACCCTTATTTAGTCAATTTATTTATTTGGTATGTTGCATCAACAAAACCCCCTTGAAATTTTAAAATAACACAGAGGTCATTACCTATCCATATTATGTGATAATCAGATATCAACAAAATCTCATATTAATATCTGAAAGTGAAATAATTAGAAATCTCAAAAAAAATAAATCCTTTATGTGTATCATATTTAGCCCAATATGAGATCTGAATGCAAACAATCAAATACATTTATTTATTATATGTGTGAAAAAGCTTCTTGAAAAACAACTGGTTTTCAACTGTGACTTTTGTATACACCTAAAAAGTCATGAGAATTTAAAGGGAGATAATTAGATACACTTCCTTTTTACAATGAACATTGTTGATGGAGAGAATAAATGGTTTAAGGTTAATATGAACATATCACAGAATATCACATATGAAAGAAAATTCAATCATAATAATTCTTGGTATTCTTGCTGGCAGCAGAGAAATTTGATCAGCAAGCAGACATTTCGAAGTCAGATTATAATTACTGAAAAATAGTAAATAAAGCAGTTCTATCCAACAGGTAAAATTTTTATGTTAAATCAAACTTGAAGAAAAACGATAACCAAACTATTTATGCAGAATTGAAATGTAAGCTTTTTAGTATTTAATGTTGGATTTAAAGAGAGATTTAAAGAGAGAAAAAAATGAACAGTTCCGAATTATCCCCACAATACAGAGTCTACCAAAAAAATGTATAAATGTAGAAAAAAAAACTGTCTTTTGTAGTTTTATGAAATTGAAATAACACTGTTTACAGTAGTAAAATATTTTCCTGATTTAACATCTGCAGACTTTTACCTACAGGGAACCCTAAAAGATGTGCATCGCAGAAAACATTGGCAGCCCTTAGACAAGAAATTGAAAATGCACGTCCAGCAATCTACTGGACAATTTGACAAATGTTGTCCAAGCAGTAGTTTGATGTACAAAAAAATGTCTGAAAACTAAGGGCCACCATTTTGAGCATCTCTTGTGATTGTAGAGTCCAAAGGTAACTTGCATTAATCTTGTGATGTCTGTATGAATTTAGTATTATAATATCTAAACAAGTTTTTCCTTTCCTGAAGTCTGTATACATTTTTTTTGGTGGACTCTGTATATTATTGCAGGTCTGATTTTTATTCCTATATTTGTTTTTATATGCTAACATTTCTTTAATATTAATATTGACCTCATTTTGTAATAAGTGCCAAAATTTTGTTACGAATAAAATTGCATATTTTTAAACAGTGCAATATTTAAAAACAAGATATTATTTAATGTTTTGTAAATATCAAACTATATTAGTTATCTGTTAACAGAGGCACATCTGAAGGCATGCATATAGATTAGTATAGGACATCTGTATGCATGAAATAAATTCTATTATAACAGAAAAGTTTAATGTTCATGTTGTAAGTCATTGAGTCAGAAAGTAGAGTAATATATTGAATAGTTTCAAATACTTTTCAACATATCAGAGACATGCCTCCACAATGCCAAAAATATCTTATGATCTACTCTCAAATTTTAAAAATTAAATGGAAAATCCAAATTAACTTTTGAGAAGATGATCATTGTCTTAAGATTGAAATCAGTTGATATCTTTGTAGCATTACATAATTTGACAAAGCATTAATTTATGCACATGTCAAAGGATAAGAAATGCATCACATGGCAGTCTGATTAGAGGCAAGAAATGTAAGTCTCCAGTTAGTGCTAGTTCATGAGAACAGTTGTATGTCTATTTTAGGCCTCAGTGGCACAGACTCCCCATCAGAAGGTTTTCCCAATCTCAACAAACATTTTTCCTGCATAATCCAATGAATTTCATTTCTTGACTTATGATCACAAAACACCACAAAGTACCCAGCTACCTTTAAAGATTCTTGGGGATTATATTGGGTGAATAAAAAAATTATTTTGCTATTCGTTACCTAGCTAAAAGACTGATTCAATGTACAACCAAGTCAACAATCAAGTAAGACCTTAATACACTTTCTTTTAATATGTATTCTGTTCTCTGCATGAACTATTGTCTAATCAGTTTTTATAAATATATAGCAAAATTGTTTTCTCTCAAGTGTTATACACGTCCTTGTTTTTATTCACCCATGTACTTAAGTGTTATTATATCATAGGTATACTAATGCTATATTTGGATGGTATGAAAGATTTACTTCCACCAGCCGTTCCCATATTATCATGTTCATTAGAGCAATGATACCATTCAGAGAAAAAAAGAGAACAAGTATCAGTAACAATATTTTTCTATTTAATTAAAGAATTTGATGACATTAATTGGAGAAATGTTTTAAATATTGTTAATGTTTGGCCAACAAAGGACATCTTCACTCAGTAAGCTATCAAACATGCTATCAAATTTATAAAATATTTCTTATAACCTACTTGGTGTTTGATTTACAAAAGCAAATAGCCCATTAATTTTCTCATCTAAAATAGTTCCTCTATTTTCCTACAACTTTTGTTTCTTTTTTAAATCTTAGTCTGTTTGAAAGATATGAAGCCTTACTGAGAGACAATTGCAGATACATTTCAAATAAAACTTTTTGTTTTTAGGATGATGCATGGACTATATTTTTGTTCTTTTTGCTTTGAAATTGTTTCATATAAAGAAAGGGGACTGAAAAAAAGTTATTTATTATGTATAAAATGTCATTTTTAAGTAATCAAAAAAGGTTAAAAAAAATGTATAGAACACTTATGCTTTGTGACAAGAATGAAACAGTAAATATTTCCTTGTCCAGTTTGGCCTCTATATTATTAAATATCATGATGTAACAAAGCGAATGAGTAGAAAACTGTTATAACAAAATTTAATAATAAAAAGAAAAAACAAAATCTTTGTAGCGGAAAACATGGATTGATATCTTCAAAATGCAAACAAATGCAAATGGTAGAATGTGTTAAAAAAATTATATAAAATTTGCAATTTTGGGAATAAATTTATTTTGCTGCTAAATCATGAGTGAGAAAGGGAAAATGAATAAAAAGGAGAAAATTTAGAAAAAAAGTTTCTTTCTTTACCCACATCTCCTTTCTGTGATTTCCATTTTAAATTCATCTGATTTTATTGAATGGAATAAAATGATAAGCCCATTGAGTGATAAAATATTTATAAAATCTAGTGCGATTAACAAAAAGGACAATTTCTTTTCTGTAAACATTTTTTTTTTAATTACAAGTTAAAATATGATTTATTTTTAATTTATATTATTCTCAATCACGTAATATCAGGAAAATGAAACTTAAAATGATATATGATCGTTTAGAGCCTTTAGTCGAATGAGTAGTTATTTTAAACTTTTGTTTTTTTTTTTTTAGCAGTAAAATTTATAGAATAAGAAATAGCACTGATCCTATCTCCATATGGTTTACATTTGGAACGAGTCAAAAGAAACAATTCATAGTCTTATTTTTCTTTGCTATAACACAAATAGCATATCAGTTTAATTATTTTGTTGATTTATCTAACCTCATATTGTAGGCTTATATATATTTTTAAAAGTCTAGATTACAAAAGAAATTAGTTGCAACTAAATTACTGAGCTATTTTTACAAATAGCTGATCAGATCAATTAAAGTGCATTGTATTGCAAGAGATTTTTTCTTGTCAATTCAGAAAAATATGCATTTTTTTATTTAATTTTAAATTTGTTGTATACTTTTCACTATTATTTTTCCTATAACTTTAAAAAACATTGATATTGTGAAGGCATTTCAATAAATATGTAATCACAATATGAAATCAAGAAATATATATATATATATATATATATATATATTGACAGACTATATTCTCATTCAGCTCCCTTAAACAATGGTATGAACATGTTTACTTTGGTCTTGTCAGTAACAATGGAAAAATGTTTTTTTTTTTTGAGAAAACAATCTAGACAGGCGGTGGTCCATTGACATAATGAAGCACTGATGTGAATGAGCGTTGCATATTGTTAGTCAGTGCACAGCTGTAGTCGTCTTCGGTCATGGGCAGGAGAGATGCCAATCCTAATAGTAGAAGTAAAAGGCCTTGTATTGGTAATGCAATCCAAAAGACTCGCCGACAGAATGATGAACAGGTGCAGGGGCCTGCAACCGCTGCATCTGTTTCATCATCCTCTAAAATTTCACAGGGTTTTTCTGTTTCTAGATCGTCTTTCAGTATCGCTTCCACTTTTTCTTCAGTATCAAGGAAAAGTTCATCGTCATCTGTTTCAAATTGGTCATCTTTTGCTTCTGTTGGTTTAAGTCTCGTTTTTTCATAGGACATGGGTTTATAATCCACAGAACTTGTAATAACATGTCTATCTTCAGGGAGTAATGGAGTTATTAATGCCTGATGAGAATCTGTTGCAGATGTGGCCTCCTGATCAAAACCAGCTCCATCTGTAACTGTCCAACTGTCCTCATCAACTTCATCTACATTATCATCATTAATAAGGATA